GAAGAATTTATTTCCTGAATATTTCTGAATTCATCACAATCAATCCAAAAAAATGCTTGGAGTAAATAGTACCTATTCAACACCAATTTCAATTCTTCTGGGCTAGTAGAAATTCTTTTGTCTAGTTAATAAAAGAAGTATTAGAATAAATCCTTTTAAGATATAGACAATTAATAAATATAAAAATACTAACTTTTGCTTTTTTATTTTCTAGATATTTTTAAATTTATTCAAATCAATCCAAAAAAATGCCTAGAGTAAATAGTGTCTATTCAATACCAATTTCAATTCTTCTGAGCTAGTTGATAAAAGAAGTGCTAGAAAAATTCATTTCCTGAATATTTCTGAATTCATCATAATTAATCCAAGAAAATGCTTAGAGTAAATATAGTAATGTCTATTCAACACCAATTCCAATTCTTTTGGGCTAGTAGAAATTCTTTTGCCTGGTTGATAAAAAAAATGCTAGAATGAATCTATTTTCTGGTCTAAGCTAGACTAGCAAAGTCTTTAGACTAAAAACTATAATAAACCAGACTAAACTTAGACCAAATTATCTAGACTGAACCAAACTGGTTTGTTAATATCTCTTATAGTATATAATTAAAGCATGTCTGTAATCTGTAACAAGTTAAGCTACTAATTTCAATCATATCTGATTATATTTCCAGTACAAGGCTTAACTATTATAAACTATATATTAACAAAAAATATTTAAAATTAGAATTTAAAAATTTATAAATTCAAAAGTTGCATTTTGATATTAACTAAACCAATATCAAAGTTGTTAATGATAACTTTACTAATTGTAAAGGGAACTACTATTCGCACCATAGATTTTTGGATTGATTGTGATGAATTCAGAAATATTCAGGAAATAAATTCTTCTAGCACTTTTTTTATCAACCAGTTCAGAAGAATTAGAATTGGTGTTGATTAGACACTATTTACTTCAGACATTTTCTTGGATTAATTAGAATAAATTTAGAAATATCTAAAAAATGGAAAAGTGAAAGTTAGTGTTTTTATGTTTATTAATTGTCTATGTTTTTAAGAGGATTTATTTTAACACTTCTTTTATCAACTAGCCAAAAGAATTTCTACTAGTCTAGAAGAATTGAAATTGGTGTTGAATAGACACTATTTACTCTGGGTATTTTCTTGGTTTGATTAGAATAAATTCAGAAATATCTGAGAAATGGATTCATTCTAGCACTTCTTTTATTAACTGGCCAAAAGAATTTCTACCAGCCTAGAAGAATTGAAATTAGTGTTGAATAGATACTATTTACTCCAAGCATTTTCTTAGATTGATTTGAATTTAGAAATATTCAGAAATAGAAAAGCAAGGATTAGTATTTTTATGTTTATTAATTGCCTATGTCTTAAGAGGATTTATTTTAATACTTCTTTTATCAACTAAACAAAAAAATTTCTACTAATCTGAAAAAATTGAAATTGGTATTGAATAAATACTATTTATTCTGGGTATTTTCTTGGATTAATTATAATAAATTTAAAAATATCTTGAAAATGGATTCATTCTAGCACTTCTTTTATCAACTGGCCTAGAAGAATTGGAATTGGTATTAAATAGACACTTTTTATTTCAGATATTTTTTTAAATTGATTTGAATCTAAAAATATCTGGAAATAGAAAAGCAAAGGTTAATAATATTTTTATGTTTATTAATTGTCTATATCTTAAGAGGATTTATTCTAACACTTCTTTTATTAACTGGACAAAAGAATTTCTACTGGCCTAGAAGAATTAGAATTGGTGTTGAATAGGCATTATTTACTCTGAGTATTTTCTTGGATTGATTATGATAAATTCAAAAATATCTGAGAAATAGATTTATTTTAGCATTTCTTTTATCAATTGGTCTGGAAGAATTAAAATTGGTATTAAATAGACATTATTTACTCCAGGCATTTTTTTGAATTAATTTGAATTTAGAAATATCTAGAAATAGAAAAGCAAAGATTAGTATTTTTATGTTTATTAATTGTCTATGTCTTAAGAGGATTCATTCTAATACTTCTTTTATTAACCAGACAAAAGAATTTTTATCAGCTTGGAAGAATTAGAATTGGTGTTGAATAGCACCATTTACTTCAAGCATTTTCTTGGATTGATTGGAATAAATTTAGAAATATCTGAGAAATAGATTCATTCTAGTACTTCTTTTATCAACTAGCTAAAAGAATTTTTACTGGCCCAGAAGAATTAAAATTGGTGTTAAATAGACATCATTTACTTCAAGCATTTTCTTGGATTGATTAGAATGAATTTAGAAATATCTAAAAATAGATTTATTCTAGCACTTCTTTTATCAACTGGCCCAGAAGAATTGAAATTGGTGTTGAATAAACACTATTTACTCTGGGCATTTTTTTGAATTGATTAAAATAAATTCAGAAATATCCAGAAAATAGAAAGTATTTTTATGTTTATTAATTGTTTATGTTTTAAGAGAATTCATTCTAACACTTCTTTTATTAACTAAACAAAAGAATTTCTACTAGCCTAAAAGAATTGGAATTGGTGTTGAATAGGCATTATTTACTTTAAACATTTTCTTGGATTAATTGTGATAAATTCAGAAATATCTAGAAAATGAATTTATTCCAGCACTTCTTTTATTAAGGGGCCCAGAAGAATTGGAATTGGTGTTGAATAGACATCATTTACTTTAGGTATTTTTTTAAATTGATTTGAATCCAGAAATATTTAAGAAATAAAAAAGTAAAAATTAGTATTTTTATATTTATTGTCACAGCTAATGCTGAAAATAGCTAATACTAAAATTTTAATTATTTTATTATTAAATTTTTACAATTTTTTGGGGTGCATTTTTTTAGTTTTCATATAATAGTTTGAGTAGAGTTTAGGGTTAGATTTATTAATTAAAGTATATAGATGGGTTTTAGTAGGTTTTATAGTTCTAAACAGAGACTCCAAAATTTTAGCATCAGCCATTTTCAGCATTAGCTGCAACAATTATTATACCTAATAACATACCAAAAATTATATGACTACTGATATACATTTTGCTGGTTAGATCTTTTAATGGAATTTTTAGTTCATCATCAAATTGGTCTATTCTTTTACTTGTTTTGCTGTTATTTTTTTTTTAATTCTGCTAAAGTTATGCTATTTTTAATTATTATTTCATTTAAATCTTCTATACTCTTAATAACTTTATTCAGATTTTTAGAACTTTCTAAATTTTGTATAAATTTCATAACATCCTCACAGATTTTTTCATAATTAGTAAGTAATATTTTGTATGGGGAACCATGAGCTCTTGATCTAGCTGGCTCAGTATAGCCACCCATTTTTGCAACTACAAAAACTCTAAATGAAATTTGAGAATACCTAATAAGTTAATTCAAAATAAATATTTAAGTGCAGTTTAATTTAACATGTTAAATTACATTATTTTTACAAAATAAGAAAAATATAAAATTATAATTTTAAAACAAATTATTACCATGACATTGCACCTTCGAACTTCTACTTAACTGTTCTATCTTTTAAGGCAAAGAGTGTTCTATTTTTACCAGCACCAATAAATTATAAATCGCTTGCTAATAAGTTACAACAAAAAGGCAAAGCTTGCCAAAATAAATTGTATTAAAAATCAACAATTTTAAATTAAACTTACATTGAGCAAACTTTATTTGTAGACAATTTACTTATAAGTAAATAAAATTATAACATTTTAAAAAATAATATAGTTATTTAATGCTTGAATTAAATATAACAAGAGGGATATGTAACAGGTGCTGTTCCTTCATTAAAACAATATGGTAGTTGATTAGGGCAGAAAAATTTAGACCTATCTAAACAAGTAATCTGATCAGGTAGATTGTTTTGAGGAGAACAATAACAACTTCCTGGTTGAAGACTATCAGAAACTTCATTATGCCAAATTGGTAGGTTTTTATGCGGAAAGTTTTTGAGAAAAAGTGCTAGTTTTATAAACAGCAAAAAAGTGTTATTTTACTATTTTTAATTATTAAGCAAGTTATTTTAGTAATATGTTCTAATAAAATAATTTATTACTAAGCAATTGTGTTAGAGTAGCTAAAGCTAACCAAAAAATAATAAGACAAAATACTTTTCACGACATGGTTGAAATCATAAAATTCTGATTAAAGATCACACAGCAAAGCAAAACAATACTTACTTATTGAAGTTTATAACACAATTCTTTACCTGTTTTTGTTTCATACTAAAACTAAAACATTTTATTTAAAAAATTTTTTTCTAATAATGCACTATTGAAAAGTGATTTTCATTTGTATTTTTCTGACCAACAATCTTTAGAATTATGATTGCAGTTTATATCTCTACGTGCAGATGAAAAATAATAGCTACAAAAAAAACAATAAAAAAAATAGTTCAACAAGGGAGAAATTTTAATAAATAAAAAAATGTATTTAATTATTATTCATTAATCTTATTCTTAACTTGTTTTGAATTCATTTTTTATATTAAAAACTAATTTATGATCCAATAAATTTGTTATAATATCTGGATATGTGTTTTATATCTACAGATAGAAAATCATTACTTAAATGAAATCACAATTTAGAAGTAGGAATTAATTGTTATCTAATACAATTTTATTTAAACATTTATTATTATTTATCAATACTAAACAAACTAACTCCCTATATTATATACTTCTGATTAAGACAAGAAACCTTTCCACTTAAAAATATACACCTTAATGTTTAGATTTATAAAATCTATTATCTCTAGACTTTTTTTTTCACAAAAGCACAAATCAAAATCATTTTTACAATTTAATTTACTTTTTCTGTATAAATAAGATAATATTCCCTCCTATCTTTTATTAGGTAATTTGATTAAAAATAATCGAAAACTTCTAAAATTTTTTTTATTATATCGTTTCGAATATACTCCTTTAGTATAATATGAATATATATAACAGAAAATATAAGGTTCATAATCAACATTAATTTTATAATCACTTTCATTTATATAATCTTTACACTCTATGAAATGAATAAATTCACTGTGAATAAAATCAAAAATTAATTAAATAGTATGTATTATTCATATACTATTCTTCAAATTATTAAAATTTATAGATAAGTTTCTGGATATTTCTTTATATAATCTTTATGAATATAAAATTTTAAACCTTTAGCATTAATAGTAATAAAATAAGGCTGCATTTTCAATTTTATGTAAACGTAAATTTGCTTTTTTTGAATTTTAAACATTATCTTAATGCATCATTATGTATTTATTCAAGAGATAAGAAACTAATAAAGTGACTTGCTTCGTCAATTTTATCAATATTCTTATATAGTTTCATCAATTTCATCATTGCAAAAATTTCATCAAATTGCTTCTAAGTACTATTTTCAGATTAATTAACGTCAAAAGAATTTCTTTTATATTGCCTAAACTAAAAACAGATATAAATCTGATTTGAAAAATTCCAATACTACAGAATGTTATATATACATACCTTCTTAAAAACAATATTATATCATAAACTTATCCTAAAATACATAATAATAAAGCAGATCAAACGTTAACAGATTAGCCAAAATTAAGTCTAATTGCTAATACCTTGGAACTTTAAAATTACCCAGTATATCAAAACCAATTTAAGATATCAATATTAAAAACAATATTAAACAAAATAATCAAGAAATTAAAAAAAAAGGTATAAAAATCATTACTTAAATAAAAACACAATAGAAATAACAATGTTTGCATTTTTTACTATAAAGATAGTTAATATGAGAAAAACACTAAACAAAGATAAGACTATCAATCTCTAATATTTTCATGCTATAATTATATCAGTCTCTTTGTTTAAAATATACTCCTTAATATTTACATGATCCATTTTAACTGTTTTAGTTTATACTTTGATCCAAAAGAGAAATATGCACATCTCTAGTTTAGATTATCCTATTGCTAAAATATTTTTAAAACTTGCATGATGAATTTTCACAGTAGCTGACTATTCTTTAGCCAACTATTATGAATTATAAATCAGTGCAAAAAAAAAAAGATAGTTTGGGCAAAAGTTTTTTTGACTGAAATGATAAACTCAACTATTCATTTTTTATTATTTAAAATTATTTTTTTTTATGTAAAAAACTACATATCTTAATAACAAGCTCAATTTGTCGATAATAAATATTTTCTGTTAATTAAAATTTAATTCCCAACATATTTCTGACCCTTTGATTAAGGCACTTGAGAATACCTAATGAATAAATATAAGCATAGTTTGGTTAAAGTCGACAATATAATATAATAGTGCACCTAATGACACTATTAGGATTATAATTGCACTAGCAATCCTATATATAATATTATACACGGAACTGAATATTTTAGATGGGTTAGTCATGCTATAAAAATGTAACGGTCTTGTGATTACTGATCTCTTCTGACCTGAAAATTCAGATTATGTATTATATTAAAATACCAGATACTAATAGTTTTTTAAATTTATATAATAATTTAACTTTAGTATTTTAAATGCAATAAAATTATTAGGTCAGAAGAGGTCATAATCAGAGACCACAACATTTTTATGGCATGACTAACCCACTTGAATATTTTATCAATAATATTTTATTAATAATTCTTTTTATTACATATATGAACTCTATAAAATATTTTTCTTTTTAATTAATACCTATCTGTTATTTTAAATTAAATCAAAAAAAAATTTAATTATTGACTTTTACTAAAATGTACTTATGGTGTTTTACACTCCTATATATACATTATTACAAACCTATCTAATTAATCAGTTAAGTAAAAATGTTCTAAACTATGCCCAAACCTTAAAATATTAATCCGAAAGGTAAAAAAATTTGTGTTAAAAATTTTTTAAAAAAATATAAGAAATATAATAAAAAAATATAATAGACATAACTATGCGTTTGTACAAATAAAAAATTTCTCAACGAGATAAGGATATAATTTTTGAATTTTTGAAATTAGGTTTGTGATAAATGTTTCTTAAAAAAAAATAATAAATAAATGATCGAATTATTTTTAATAATTATTAAAAATTATTTATATAATACTAACCACCACAGGCTTCTGCGCAAGGCTAGATCAAGCTTCCTGGATTAAACAATGAAAAAGAATATTAGCTATAGTTAAACAAAACCTTTTTTAGCAGATGAAAAATGAAACCTAAATGTGTAATCCTAGTAATGATAAAAATTAATAAGATAAAATATCTATTTTCAGGATAAAAATATATATAAAATATATTTCTTTCAATTTCAAATATAGGTTTGTCCATACTATATCGTCTGCCTTTAGATATTTGAGTGTGTGGGAGTTAAAACCTGGAAATGAATATTTGGTGCTGATATCTTTATAGAACCAAATATTCACAGACTTTGGATCATACAAATTCTAAAGACAACAGAACAGATCATCAGATTACTCAATTACTAATTCACAGTAGGGTTGGGGGCATGGGGTTAGAGGGCATGCCTCAGAGGGCATGCCCCTGGGGCATGCCTAGGGCATGCCCTTTGGTCAAAAGGCATGCCTCTGTTATGTGATCTTGTCATGTGATATAAAGGTATATGATTGGACAATTAAGCATACAAAAGTTATAGTAAAAAATTATAATACAACTATACTAAACTTAATTATGTTTAATTCAGTTTTTTAAGCAAAATTTGATAGAATTTTTATCTTTTTTATCAAAAAAATATTTGTATTTTATAAAATAAAACTTTGTGGCAAATTTATAAAATTAGAGTATTTTGACTATGAAGTTTACTATTTACTATTTATTTTAGATATTTCTTATTGTAAAATCATATAGATAACATATAACCCATTGTTCTGCAAAAAGATAGATTAGACATTATCAATATAATTTTACAATAAGAAATATCAAAAAAAAAACAAATATATGATAAATAACGAGCTTTATAATTAGTCAAAATAATTTAATTTTATAAAAAAATTTTATATTGATGCTTATAGTTAATTAAAATTATAAAGGCTAAATCTATATTAAATAGTATTGTTTAATAATTAGTAGACTAAAGCAAAGTATTTTTTTTTTAAAGATTCAAAATAGATAGTAAGAGTAAGGTTTAGTATATTAATTTATTGATCAATCGATCTATATAAATTAGCCAATCATAATTTTCATAGGGGCATGCCCGGGGCACAGAGGGCATGCCCTTGTCAAAGGCATGCCCCTCAGGCCATGCCTCAAAAATTTCCCGTGCCCCCAACCCTAATTCACAGGGACAGTAAATAATATTGATTTGTATTGATTATATATAAAATAATATTTTTAGACCAAATCGTGGAGAAATCGATATTTCACAAATTTTAATACAGTGTAACAATATGCACTTGGGCAAAATTAAAAGTATAATAATTCAGTCTGTGCAATATAAACTTGGCCAACTTGAACTGTTGATAAGCTTAACTATACCGATCAATATTTTTGCAAAATCAAATTGATATTATTCATTGTCCTTGCCAATTCGTCATGAGCAAGTCTCATGACCATTGACTCGCAATAATGTGATATGTTATTTCATATTTTTTATACATGATAAAATTTTAATTTATAAATTATTTTGCTTATATATTGAAAGTAAAAGAAAACTTTTAGAATATTGTAATTAAGAAAGTAAAGGTTTTTTAATTCTTTTGTTTATTTAAGTGCTATTTCAAAAAGAAAATCCACAATTTAACTTTAATAAAATCAATCAATTAATAACCATTTTATTAATCTGATTGAATAAATTAATTTAATGACAAAATTTTTGAATTTTGAAAATGAGTCTGAATAATAAAAATAAATGAAAAACAAAATCGAAATCATATAAAAAATTCACTTAAATAGCCTCTCAATTGTTTGGTTTGATTTGCCTCTATTTGGATTAAAGATAGTTGATAAACTACTCTATTTATCATTTATTACTGAATTTGCAGCTTCACTCTTCTGTCATAATACTGCAATAACTCTATTACAGAGCTTTGAACCAAAAGAAGTTAATCATTAATTTATTATTTAAAATTTAGCTTTAACCTTAGCAGCATATTGAAATTTATAATAAACTTTCTATACACAATCTTAATCAATCCAAATTGCAATACCCTAGAATATGCATATGCAATTACTAATTTTATTTATCACACATCACTTTCTGCTTTCTTACTATGAAGGCTGTATCTATTGAAGGATACTATGTTTGATAAATTCATTTATATTACATTACTAACTGTAAGAATTGGATTTCAATTTTTATATATTATTTTTTTAAGACCACACCACTCCAATACCAATCTTCAAAGTATGTGTGATTCTGGGTATTATGATAACAAAATGTTGGTACTAGGGTTTATAAACACAGATTTCGCAATCAAACTATATGTAACTTTTATAGTAGTATTTCATATATTGCACAAAGGCAAAAAAGTTGTCAGTGCAGTGTTTCTCCCTGACAAATCAACCAACATACTAAAAGGAGTGCTATTCTGGTTTATATTAAGAATTCTATTGGCTGCGATATTTGATATAATGGGAACCCTAGATACTCTTGGTGTCTTGAATCCAAATGAGGTAGCCTCACATACACTAAACCTAATCATATATTGTATACTCACCTGTTTAATCACATTAGATTGTGAAATTAACTCGGGTTTCATTTAAATTATTGTATTATTGTAGATATATTCCACCTTTTTGAAAGTTGATTATTCTTATTAAAATTATATATATGGAAATGGCAAGAAAAAAAGATATCAAACATTTTAATTTTATTTTAATTGTACTCTAAAACTACAAGTAAATTATTTTGGCATTTTTATGAATATAATAATATGTATTTAAGTGACAATTAAATCAAGGAATATAGTTTAGGGATCTATTTTTGATTCCGGGATGGGTTCTTTGTGACCAAAAATTATAGAGTGCTAGTTGGCGAGAAAGGTAGAAGAGGAAGAATGATTTGGGGTGTTACAGTAGATTCAGTATATATTTTACTTTACAGAAAAGTTATGTAATATTAGTTTTGTATACCAAATTCAGATATAATAGCAATCAAATTCAGACTGATATTATTAAGAAGAGAAAAACAGAAATTTTCAAATAAATCAAAATATCTTAGCAACCACCAAACCAAATTCATCAATTTTTTTTATTTGAATTCTATGAATTTTAAAATTTAAATAAAAAAATTTATCAAGTTTGGTTAGGTGGGTTGGGTGGTTGTGAAGATAACATCATTCAAAGCTAGAGAAAAATCACTATCAAAATAAAAGCTATGCTAATTTTTTTAAAATTTGAGCAAGGATATTTCCACAACCATCTAACCAAAATTGATAGTTTTTTTTTATTTGAATTTTATAAATTTAAAAAATTCAAATTTATTGAATTTAGTTGAATCTTTTGATTTCAATCTTTGAAAATCTGGAAAACATTTCTAAACTGAAATTGAATTAATTTTGTAATTGCTGAAATAATAATATACCCATAATGCTTTATTTGATAATTTGTTTGCTTTCAAATAGTGAACTACATGCTATTGTCATCTAAATTATGGATGCTATTTAAAATTTTATTTAGCTAGGCCACACCAACCTAATTCTTTGTTTAGCCCTCTATTTATTAAAATTTAATAACACTAGTGATAGCAATATAAATTTGATTATTTATTCCCTTTTTACAAATATTTGTTAAACAAATAAATTTGCTATAGTATGATTTAGTAAGAATGAGCTTATTATTTCCATTCATAACTAATAAATATATATTTTTGCTTCATAACGAAAATGGTAAATTTGATTGACATCCATATTTGGCTTTAATGCAATAACTTAAATTTTATATAATACAGTATAGATCTCAATCATAACTGAAAATTTTTTTCACACATCAACTCCTTCTTTTTTGTACATGAATAAAATTAATATATTAAATATAGGTGAGTTTGAGAGTTCTTCTAAACTATATTTTTTTTCAAAAATGAAAACAAGACTAGTCTTTAATAAATTTAATGGAGAGTCAAATAAATCTTTAGAAAAAAGATTTGAACTATTTTGTATTGATTTGTTGAAAAATGAATTCTTATCTTGGGGTGCTAGAATTAAGTAGACAGGGTGAGTATTTTCTTACTAGCTTTGTTAAATTGTTACGTATTTGAAGTTATACTGCCAGGTCATCGTAAAATATCCAAGAATTGAAAGCTTGTCATGGCCTATGTTTTGATATAGAACATTCTTCTTGGTTGTTTAACTTCACCAACATCTTTCTCGGTGATTAGCCTGATAAAAAAAATACATGCTATTTTTTTAGTTTTATACTTCTATGAAACAAAGCTTATATAATATTGTCAATTTAGTGGTTCTGGAGATGATGGTTAAGATATAATTATAGAAATAAGCAGTTATAAAATGGTTATCTAATGCAAGGCTTATTTTAATAGTTATATAAGTATGAATCTTTGTCTATAATTTTGATTAAATTACTTACTAATTTTATTATAATTATAAGAAAGAGATTATGTTAATGAAGTTGAAGTTACTGTTGGGAAAGAGTTTAATTTTGGGATCTTGGTCACAGCAGAGACACATAGAATTTAATCTGGGGCAATTAGGCAACTATTAGGTCAGGTGAAAAAGTCATTACCACAACTTATAATAGGATGTGTAATAATATTAAAAAAAAAATTTTGACAGAAAAGATAAACCTGCTAGAAAAAAGACTAGAGAGGAATAAATTTAATCTAAATTATTATTTGTTTTATAAATATTGGTATTGGATTTCATTATTTATTGCAATTTATTAGCTTTTTATCAGTTAACTAAATATATTAGAGTACAATTTATATCATAATGTTATGATTCCATCAGACAAATCACTCAAAAAAATTATCTTGATATTTTACAAATATAATATATAGTTATAGAAACATATATTATTTGTTTAAATAAAGAATATCATTATTTTTTAGTGAATTTAAAAATGAAGACTTATACCAGAATAATCAATAATATGCTGTGCTTCACTAGGATCATGATATTATAATATTACCTCTCATTAATGTATAGTCATATCTTTTAAATTTAAAACAAAAATTTCTCAATAACCACTGAACGAAAATTTTTTATCGAACTTGATCAAGTAAACAAGAAATATTTAAATTTTAATAAGTCACATCTCCTATACTCAAATTTTTAAAACTTTAATCAAATTTTTTTTATTTTAAATCTTCTAATTTTACAAAGAATTTTATCATGTTTGATTGAGTAGTTATTATTTAAAGTTTAAATACAATCTAACTCTCTATAGTCACTCCTTTCGGATACAAAAAGCTGTAATTATAAAAAAGTATGACTAATATAGAGATATTTTCTATATATAGTCAGACTTCTTAAATACAATACGATGTGACCATATATAAAAATTTAGCAAAAACGTGTATTTAGAGAAGTATTGCATTTAGGGAGATAAAAATCTATAGGCATAATATAAGTTGGGCCCAAGAGAAAATATGCATTTAAGGAGGTTTTTCATAGGCATACACTTAGGAGGTTACATTTAAGAGTCTGACTGTAGTTATAGTTAATTGGTAAAAATAAATTTGTAATTATTAATTTTGTGACTATAGAGGAGGTAAATATAGAGAGATTTGACTATATAGTGAAGCTCAACTTTATTAAACTTTAAATTTTTCAATAACTATGTCAAACTTAGAAAAAGTATTTTTATTTTATTTATAGCTATTCTCATAAATTCTGGGACAATAGAAAAATTTCCTGATACCAGATCGATAAGTTACTAAGTCAGAATTGACTGACTTTGGCCAAACTCAGAAATTTATCGATTTGGTTATTAGTATTTTTTTTCAATTGTCCCAGAATTTATGAAAATAGCTGTAAACAAGCCTGTGAATTAAAATAAAACATTTTATCGAATTTGGTATTGTTAAAATTTTTAAGTGAATATTTCTTGATAAAAGCCTGATAAATTTTTTTTTATTTTAATTCTACAAGCTTGGTGAAATTTTTTTATTTTAATTCTACAAATTGCTTTTATTTTTTTATTTTTATTTATTTATTTATTTTTTTGTTGTTGAAGGTGAAGCATTGCAGTACTATATTTTTCTTTTTGTTTTTTTTTTGTTTTCTTTGCAGTATATATAAATTTTTCTGCATACTGTATATGCATTTTTTATTGCAAATCAGGAGGACATATTGTAAACTGTATAAATTCAACTTATAAAATCAGCCTGTTACTCTAATCGACATATTTGGAAGTGGATATATTTGGTAATTTGTCTAAATCCAGATATTTAATTGTCTGAATTCAGATAATCTGAAAATCTGATACCAGAAAATATGTATAAAATGCCTGTTCATAAATAAAAAAATGATACAGAAAAAATACTATTATTGCCTGTTCATAAATATCAAAGTTAAAGATAATTACAATGCCTGTATCTCAACAACCAAGATCTATTTCTACTTTAAAAGCTGATTGTTTCAATTATGAACATAATAAAAGACATAACTATCATAAAGAAGATATTTTGATACATTGTCTTCTCCCTCGTGCTAGTATCAAACAGCTTAAAGGTTTCATTAAAAAAATAGGCTAGAATCTCCTATACAAGGTTATTTAATTAGCAAAAAAATAAAAAAAAATCAGGTAAATATTTTTCACAAAAATAATTAATCTTTTTGCAAATTTTCTTGAACTCCTCATATTTACTTTTTTATCTGCAAAATTTACTGATTAGTTACTAAGCATACCATGGACAATTTTTGACAAATAAATTGCCGATGATTAATTATTTTTTTTTTTTATTGATAATGCTGTATCTCTAATAATATATTACAAATATAAATTTATATAAGCTAATGAAGTTTATATACAATAATTTTAAACCTTTGTAAATAAAAATATATGTATCAGAAAATGTTTATTAAATTTTTAATTATTATATATTTATCAAAAATTTTTTTGATATAAAGATAATTTCTGATAGAATTAGTATTATCTCTGTCTAAATGCATAATCTGCTATATTGTATATCATTTTTATTTCCCAACATGGTAATTAATGCAAAATTTTCTTTTTATTATTAATAAAATAGAAATTAATTGCATTATAAAAATATTTTAAAGAAAGTAATATATTGGTAAAAATTATTTTAATCTGCTTAATAGTTGTTGAGATATTTTAATTTAAAGTTTAAAAAATTTTGAGAAAAAATTTACCTGTCTTCTCTTATATATTCAATTGAAACATAATAACTTTTGATCTACTGCAATACTGGAAGCAGATTCTGACTAGCTAAAACTAGTCACAGGGTTGTAAGAGTTTACAGACACAGGACATGTCCCTTAGAGTGTTGTTTGTAATAAAAATTATAATAAAAATATATAAATTTACTATAAACTTTAAGCTGAAGATTCTTTTTAGCTTAACTAATTAAAATTTACAAATATATAGAACAAAAGCAGAAAAAAAATTTTAGCTTAAAAACCAAATTAAAATTTTGCTAATTTTGTATAATTTCAAAATATAACTTTGCCAAAAATAAATATTTGCTACTGTAATTTGTGGCAAATAGTATCTGGGTCTCTTATATTTCTAGGCCTTAAAACTTGAATAGTACCTCTGGAACTGTCAATTGACTATTAAATTTGACTAAATTGATGCTAAATTGACAGTAGGCAAGTACTTTAACAAGAGGGTACTATTTGCTACAAATTACAGTAATTTTAAAACAGTAATTATATGAGAGTGAGATAGTAGAAATGACTCTTAACATTATCTGAAATTTTGCAGATTAATTACATAATGTTTAGTCAAATCACTTGCAAAGTGGCATAAGGAAAATTAAATTTTGGCTTTTTGTAATTAAAAAAATTTATATCAAAAATATGTTAATTAGATTCCAAAATATTAAATATAACCTTCAAACATATAAATTTTTATTGTATACTTCTTATGTGAGTACCTAGCTATTTTCATGCATCACTTCTAATACATGATATACAATAACCAAGTTATTGGGTCAAGTTGTTAATGACAATTGCTAATTTATTCATAGCGGATACTATATTATAACAGTGGCCCTTGGCCACCATTATATCTCATTGTCCTAATGAATAATCAGTTATCATCAATAATATGACCAATAACAAGTAATTATTAGTAAGATAGATTTTCAGCAAATTTTTTTTCAAGAATTTGAATGAAGCTGTGGTGTAGTGACAGCATTGGGGTTGGTGTAGTGCTGTGATGGATATCCTTTGGCAACAAATTTTGACCTCTGGTTCTCTAATATCTTGTTTTTTCTATATCTGATATATTTGGCATCTAACTATATATCTTATAATCAAAATTTCATACTGAAAACTTTATTTAAAAGTCAGAAATTAATTTTTATAGTTAAATTTTATGTTATTTAATATAATTTTTTATGTTTTTTTTTTAGTATTAATTTTGGAATCTTCAGTCGCTGCATTTGGTAAAACATCTGAATCCAAATAATTTTTATAAAAAGACCATGTTTTTGTTTGGTTATGTTTTTCAACAATGCTTTCAAGCCATCTTACAGATACATATTTACTGTTCTAATTAAACTAAAATACTGGTAAGCCTCTCAAAATAACCTATCAAAAATTAATCTACAAAGTCTGATTCTACTATATAAATCTGATATTTTCAAGCTTCATAATCTCTCATTATTTTAAATGATTGTAATTGACTAAATAAATTTTGATCAATTATAAACATAGATGAAAAATGCCACCATAATAGAGCTATTGTCAATCAGAATAATTACATCAAAAATCATAATAAAATTCTTAAAAACTATCTGAGTATTTCTGAATTTCATTCTCTTCAGAAATATGTAAAACTGCTTTTGACTTATCTCAAAGATCACGAATTAACACCTCTGCCATTGTCTGAAATCAGCAAAGATATGATATTATCCAGTTGCCAGTATGCTTTTTTTTTTTATCAATGTCCTTTTCATTATTTTACCTTTTCTTAGAAATTTATGTTTCTTAGAGAGGAGATCACCAAACTCAGCAGTAATGCTCTATTTAGCTTTGAAGTTTCTTTTCTAGATCCGATGACATTATCAAGTTACCAGTATGTTTGTTTTCTTACCATTATTTTTTATCTTTTTTTTTTTTGATTTTTAAAATTTTCATCGATCGATTTCTAAACAATAAATAAAATTATCCAGAACCCTTCAACACTTCATTGATAATTATAAATAGTAATAGTCAGAATTTGATGATATAATCCTATCATCAGTATGCTTTTTTTTTTCTCATTATCTTTCATCCTTTTCTTTGTTTTACTTTTTTTAAAATTTCATATATTTAGGGATGGCGACATCGAGTTATCATCGTTTATATACATTGATGATAATGATGAACAAGTGGGTGAATTTACTCTAGATAATAGTACTCACTATCTGCCAAGATATAATAAAATGGGACTGATTCTTAAAGAAATTGAAAAACTAAGTTAGGTGGCAATGATCTTAATTTTGGTGTCCTCTATATATTAATTTATTGTAATACTTTCTGTGAGAAAATCTTCATTTAATTAATCAAACAATAATGAGAATTCTTTATAGTCTAGATCTCTTTCTTTTCAAATTACTTTATTAGTTTTCATTTCTACACATTTTGGTAACTGTAGATATAAAAAAATTTTTTTTATTTTTTTTTAATTTAATAAAATTAATATGTAAGATATTAATTATATTATATCGTAAACTATCATTCTCTATCTGACTATGATTGATAATGATAATTTTTTGTTTCTTATACAATTCTACCTTAGTCACCCACGAATATCAGGCAAAGCAGATTAACACTTTAAAAAAAATTAATATCTTAATTTCAAAGCTTATATGGGGTCTTTGCCTTGAAAATCATGTTATAGGACATATGATTTAATATGCCCATAATGTGATTTTCAAGGCAAAGACCCCATATCATGATGAATTTTGAAGCTATCTTAATAATTTAATAGTTAAAAAAAAAAGCTTAAGATCTAGACTTTTTTTTACTATTAAATTATTAAGATAGCTTTGAAATTTGCTGAAATATGAGCTTTGAAAGTTAAGGTATTAATTTTTTTTTAAAATGTCAATCTGCCTGATTTCTATTAACAGCAGCCCAAATATTAAGATTAAGATCATCTACTATCATCCAAAATTCTTTTATCATTATAATATTCTCAAGAAAGTCAATATCACATTGGGTGTTTAGTCAACAGTAGGGTAAAAAAGGGAGTTCTGGGACACTTTTTTCACACCTTTATATGACATATTGTTAAAAATCGCTTTAATCGTCATCCTGC